CCTATTCCTCGAAGAACATTTTATTGGGACATCTCGTATTGGCACAAACTTGTTGGAAAACCGGCTCTAAGTTGCTGATGGTTTTTCGCCCAATTCCAAGGAAAACTTTGCCGCTTCCTCCCAGAGTCTCCAGTCCCTTGGTCCAATCAGCATACAGCCCACTGGCTAGGTGACTTCAGTCTTCACCTTTTGAACCCCTGTCCTTTATTCCCAGGGGAAAGAATTTTATTTTGGCTACAACACCCCAGCTATCTCTACACCCTCCCTGCTCCCTGCTTCCTTCGCTCCAGGCTGTGTCAGCCCTGAAGCGATGCAAAGAGAAACCTCCTCGGAGGAAAGCTATGGGGGAAAAATGGCCACAGTTAAGCCAGCTTCAGGGTTGACATGGACTTTATCATTTGAACATGCTCAAGGAATCTGTCATGCCCCTGTCGGAGTCTGAGGAGGAAGACGAACAGCTGACAGGGAGTGGGAGTGTGGCTCAGTTGGCTGTGAAGGATACTGGGGAAGAGCAAAGTCCAGCTGGGCAGAGCAGGAAAGAGGTAGAACAAGGGAGAGGGAGTTCAGAGGAAGAACCCAGGCCCACTCCCTCTTCATCCTAAGGCACACAGGGAGGAATGGAGAAGAGAGCAACATGGGTTGCGTGGCCTACGGGGCAGGAAAGGGCCCTGATTCCCTTCATTAGCTACACCTGGGAAGAAAGTATAAAAGAAATGCATGCTGACTGTAGCATCTGCTGGCAGCAAACATGACTTTATCTTGTTTTGACTTTGGTTATCTGTGTCCCTGACATCCTCCCAACCATGTTGAATTACTGCTGTTCCTTCACATCTGGAATTCCTTCTCCTGCCCTGCCGGACTAATTACATCATCTTGCCTTGATTGGACTTATAGTTACAATTTTTGTTGACCACATTTTGGACTTGATTCTCTGCAGCCCAAGGCTGTTCCTGGGAGAGTTTTTCTCCAGCCAGAAGGTAACCTGGACATTGGGGACAAAGTTAGAGCTAATAAAGGGACTCCTACTGATTATCTGACTGTGTTGTCTTTGTGCCACGCCCCTTTGGGTCATCACAGAATCTCTGTAGGTGGAAATACATCTTCACCAGTGCCTTTAACTGACACAGAGAATCCTGAAATGTATCACGAACTATTTCATGATAATAACTGCAAATGTGGTTGGTGCAAATGTAAGCACTTTCTTGTTGCTGGAAATTACACACCCGAGACCTCATGTCTAGCAGCTCTTTGCTCCAAGTCATTTGCTTCTATTTTTAATCCTTATTTCATCTCAAACCTCCTCTTCTTTTAAACACCTCGAGATGCCAGGATCTCTCCCCTTTCACTCCACAACAGCCTTGCAAAGTACACTATAATTATAATAGAATAGCGGAGTGAGCTCCCATTCCTTGTCCCAGTTTCTGACAACCTAGCAGTTCAAAAGCACGTAAAAAATGCAAGTAGAAAAATAGGGGCCACTTTGATGGGAAGGGAACAGCGTTCTGTGCGCCTTTGGTGTTTAATCATGCCAGCCACATGACCATGGAGACGTCTTCGGACAGCGCTGGCTCTTCGGCTTTGTCACGGAGGTGAGCACTGCCCCCTAGAGCCAGAAACGACTAGCACATAGGTGCGAGGGGAACCTTTACCTTTAAATATAAATTTAACACAAAAATAGTCATGAAAGCGACTGGGTCCCGGATTGGGGCTGAAAGGCGAAGGGAAAGCAAGATGCTCCTTCCCATATTTGGGTAAATCAGGTTGCACTGATAGGAAAAAGGCATTCCAGTGGTGCCCGTAACTTCAGAAGGCAAGTTGTTCCACTGATGGATGGTTCTCAACATCAAGGAAATACTAGATTGAGAAGGAGGGATCAGTCCACTCGTGCCTGGATATTTTACACTTTTTTTTGTCACACTCATTCCATATGTTCTGATTTAAGAGACCTTTGGATTTAACAGACCTTTGGATTTAACAGACTTCTGGATTTAACAGACTTCTGGATTTAACGGGCAGAAAGTGGGACCACTCACCTCGTCAGGAGGGTTCTTAACTTTCTGGATGTAACGTCGTACCACGTCCTCGGGGTTTCTGCCTGTAGAGAAGAGAAGAGTCAATGCTGACTCAAAGGCATGAATACATCCTCACCCATCGAGACAATGAAAACTATCTTCTCGAGACAGTATGACCGCTGTTGTTTGGCCACTGCTCTGGTCCTCATGAAAGGCATTTTATAACTCTCCATTCCCACCTGCGCCCACTGGCCGCCAGTCAATTTTGGTCAAAGCAATGCAATGTCTGACCCTACCCAGAGCCAAACAGTTGACTCTCTATGGCCTTTCAGAGTTTCCCACAATGCTCAGGGTACTTGATGCAGCATCCCTCCTGGGTAGGATACAAAATGGCCGCCAACTCTAAAAGGGTCCAAAGGCAATACCCAGCATGCGACCCCCACATTTTAATTCCTCAGAGACCAAGGGGGGAATCCAGCTTACTCTTCTTCAAATGTTTCTTCTTGGTTTTACGGCAAATGCCAGTAATGCCCGGCACTGCCTTCATGTCGCTCTTGTTGACAGGTGGGGGGTGCAAGATGGGCTTTGGAGCTCGCGTTAGACAGACAGGCAAACCTGCTGCACACATCAAGATGCCGGTCATTCCTGGAACAGAGAAAACAAGTGATTCAAATAAAACTCATTCCATATGTTCTGATTTAAGAGACCTTTGGATTTAACAGACCTTTGGATTTAACAGACCTTTGGATTTAACAGACTTCTGGATTTAACAGACTTCTGGATTTAACGAGCATGATGTCCTGCCAAACAGTCTGTTAAATCAAATCAATAAAAAAAATAGGAAGGGAGCACCTTTCCTGACTAGCATACTTTACTAAAAAGGCATTATTTCACTGATTACTCTTACCTGCCAAAGCAGGGTGGACTGGACCAGTTCCATTCAGATTCTTCACTGGGAGAGCAGGAACCCTGGAAGAGATGGAGATGGAGAAGATTTAAACAGGAATTGAGGGAGCACATGTTTTTGGAACATCCCCAAAGGGCATAATTTTACCCTCAAAATCTTCCCTTGCAGCCTGCCAAGCACCTTAGTCCACCTGACTTACAAACAAACAAACAAATCGCTTTCTCATAGTAGAGCATATATACACTCAGGTTGAGTCTGTTGGGTTCTTGATGTTCTTAGAATTTGGTTGTTTTCCTGCAGATGTTTCATTACCAGGCTAGGTAACATTATCAATGTCCCAAAAATTCAAAACACAATTTTTTCCCCTTGGGAATCCTTTGTAAAATATTCTTTAATTTGAAAGTTCTGATCCAGTTCGTCTCCTCCTCCTCCTCCTCCTCCTCCTCCTCCTCCTCCTTTCCTTCTCTTCTCCCTCCTCCTTCATCTCTTCTTCTCCCCTTCCTCTTCTCCTCCACCTACTTTCTCCTTCTCCATCTCCTCCACCTCCACCTCCCCTTCTTCTTCCCTTTCTCCTCCACCTCCCTTCTTCTCCTTCTCCTTAGACATCAACATATGTGTGTGTGTGTGTGTATTTGCGTGTGTTAGCATATATGGGTATGTGCATGGGTCAGTGCACAAATATGTGTCAAACATTCATCATTAAACGTTTCCTTTGTCATGTTGACTCTCCTTCATTCCGCTTCCTTTACAAAAAAATATCTTTAAAGTGGAACTCACTTTCTCTTGCTGCACTTCCTTCAGTTCCTTATTTTTCACTCCCTTTTCTTCTTCTATGATATAGGTGTAAAGGAGAGAGACATTGCACCGTTCCTAGCACATCTGGCACTGCCCGATATGAAGCCAACTTCAAGAGTCAAGGGTGACAATGAATTATGTGTCTCAGAGTCAGCTACACCCAGGCAGTGCTGGCATGTTAACTCCCAGTAAATCCTTTTTTAAGTTTTGGAAGTTTGGCTTCTCTAGACTAGTCATACCCAACTCCTGCAGCTGTTCTTCATCTGTTTTGGACTCCAGGCCTTTAATCAACCTAGTTGCTCTTCTCTGCACTTTTTTTTCTTCTTCAAAGTCTCAATATCTTTTTTGTTAATGTGGTAACCATGCTACGGTATGGAAATACTGGATAAAGGCCCCCATATCACAATTCAGGTAGTCCTCAGCTTATGACCATTCGAAAAAAGTGTCTCAGAACCAATCCTCCCCTTTGCTACAGGGGCAGCGTCCCTACGAACATGATCAAAATGTGGATGCTTAGCAAATGGCGTATATTTACGGCGGAATCTCGTGAATGTCATTTGTAGCCTACTGAGGCAACTAACAAGGAAAATCAATAAGAGAAGATGGATGCAAAAAAGTTGACGGTACATTTTACCATATGTGGTGGCTATGCCCCGAGACCAGGACATTCTGGATTCAAATTAAAAATTGGTTACAGGAGATCACCAGTTATCAAATTGAACTCAGACCAGAAACTTTTCTCTTAGGAATTATTAAAGACCAAATTCCCCCCAAAAAGTAAAATATTTAATGTTACATATCTTAACAGCCCTCAGAATAGCCTAGGCACAAGTATGAAAAACTTCTAATTTTCCTAGTGAAGAACTGATGCAACAAAAAATAATGGAAAGTGCTGAAATGAATATGCTTGCATTAAAATTGCAAGAGAAAGAAGAGTGAATATTTTTTAATTTGGAACAAATGGTATGACTGGATTACAAACAGAAATAAGAAAGGAAATCAACTTGTAAGAGACCTCAAGAAAACGAATGATAAATATGTAGAATATATAAGAATAATAATTATGGATAAAGTTATTAATTAATGTTAGATAAATGTAAATGTAATGTGTTAAGACATATAAGATAAGAATTTGTATAGATGCCAAAAATACTATTGAAATTATGATGTTTTGAGTTGTAATAATGGAAATACAATAAAAACATATTTTTAAAAAAAGTTACCCGAGAGCCAAATTTCCTTCTTTGGCATCATTTTTGGGCCAAAATACCTGATTTTCACCTGCTGTCAGCAACTAACCTTACAACCCTGGCCCGGCCTTTGAAATATAACTTGCAGGAGGGCTCACTCCACACATTCAAAGTCCCCTAAAAATTGCCCTTCAAGCACACTAAGCCGCTCGCACTCTTACACAACACACACACACACACACAAACCCACACCTTCTTCCTGTCTGACTCCTTTTTTGCTGACTCCGACAGTCATCTCGGGTGTTGGCAGCAGAAAATCTCAGAGAGCAATTTGTCCATTGGCTCATCTTACCTAGTTGTTGACATAGCAGATCCTGCTAGGAGGAATAATTGTTGTGTAACATTCACAATTCTCAACAGCCAAAAGAAAGAAAGAAAGAAAGCCAACCCCAAACAGCACTAGAAGGAAGTGCGTGTGAAGTGCAGCAAGAAAACAATGCTTTAAAAAGGTGGTTGGCTTTTTGGGGGTGTGAAAGGAACTTGATCTAAACCTTGCCCAGTTTCATTTTTACTAACGGATAAATATAAATAGCCCTTTCTACTATGCCAACCTGAAAAAAAAAATCTATCTTCTGTAAATTGAGAAGATTTAGAATAACAGAGTTGGAAGGGACCTTGGAGGTCTTCTAGTCCAACCCCTTGCTCAGGCAGGAAACCCTAGACTGTTTCAGACAAATGGCTGTCCAATCTCTACTTAAAAACCTCCAGTGTTGGAGCATTCACAACTTCTGGAGTGTATCACAAAATGTCTATGGAGATTCACAGTTATCCAGATCATGGTTGTCCCAAAGGTGATCTTTTTTTTTCAAGAGGCAAACTGGACTTTCTAGTTTTTCTTTGAAGACATTTCACTTCTCATCCAAGAAGCTTCTTCAGCTCTGACTGGATGGTGGATGATGGTCATTGACCGACTGTCTGCAAGGAGTATCAATCCTTCCATTCCCCTCCGTCCAGTCAGAGCTGAAGAAGCGTTTTGGATGAGAAACTAAATGTCTTAAAAAAAAACCCAGAAAGTCCAATTTCCTCTTGAAAGAAGCACCTTTTGGGACAACTTCCGAAGGAAAGTCATTCCACTAATTTTATCAGCAAATTCTTCCTTAGTTCCAGGTTGCTTCTCTCCTGGATTAGTTTCCACCCATTGCTTCTTCTCCTGCCTTCAGGTGCTTTGATTAGATTAGATTAGATTAGATTCAACTTTATTGTCATTGCCACAGGCAACGAAATGCAGCTAGCATCTAACCAGAAGTGCAAAACATCAATAAAGTATAAATATATATGTACTGATATACAATAAAAATGTAACTATATATGGATATACAGAATATCTATGAATATGCAGAATATATGTCTATGGAAGGAATATGTACGACCGTACAGAGTGTTTATGAACATATTGAATGTAAGTATAATGCACAGAGAGTTTATACAAGATATATATTATCAGGGGAAGTATCAGTGTGTGTGTGGGGATAGACGAGTTGAGGAGTTCAATAAGGAAACCGCTGTATGGTAGAAGCTGTTCCTTAGCCTGCTGGTCTTAGACTGCAGGCACCTGAACCTCCCTCCAGATGGAAGAAGGGTAAACAGTTTATGGGCTGGATGGGAGAAGTCCTTAACGATACTGTAGGCTTTTGGAGAATAGCTTGACTTCCTCTTCTTTGGGGCAACCCCTCAAGTATTGGAAGACTGCTATCATGTCACCCGTAGTCTTTCTTTTCCTTAAACTAGACATACCCAATTCCAGCAACTATTCTTTATATGTTTGACTAATGACTAATTCTATGACAAAATGCACTGTAAGGCATAACTATGAACAAATATCTGTGTTTGCTCTGTTTATTTTAGCACTATGTAGTATTTTTGTGCCATTTCCCCCCCTTTCTTTTTCCCATTTTATTTTCCTTTTCATGTTTTATGCTTGTTTTGATGAAGGGCCAGAATGCAAGACTGAAGATATTTCTCGCCTTGTTTCCAGCCACTGCTTAGAGAGCTTTACGTCCATGAAGTGAGTTATAATGCTTGAAACAAAGAAATAATTTTTGTGAGCAGAAGGCTGGGGATCTCTGCTCCGGCCCCTGCCTTATTTCTGTTATAAAAAGGGGGAAAGGAACTCTTGAAAATTCTTGGTTGCTTTGTACTCAGAAGAACAGAGATCTGGGTTAGATATTGTGCTATTTATTACGAACTTCAGACAGAGCTCATAAATTCGTAGGAAGCGGGGAAATGAGTGACTTGAGCCTGCCTACCAAACGCAAAGATGCTGATATGAAAACACAGGCTAGAATCCTTTGTCCAGGACAAAAAAAAACAACACTTGAAATAGATTCAGTTCCTACAAAATCATTTACAGTAGGAGCTTTCGATGCCCTCGTGAGATGGCTGTTGGCCAAGTTTTGGTCAAATGCTGGAAAATGTGTAGAGGAAGGGCCAACCTCTGCAGAACATCTGTTGAAGAAGATGATGTGAAGGGAAGAAGCTAACATGGTGCCTCAAATGTCACTGAAGGTAGCAGAATGCGAAGAGGCAGTGAAACACCACTATGGGAGGCATAAACATCTGGAAGACAATACCTGTGGATCCCCTATGGATATAGACTGAACAGAAGAGCTGTGCAGATAGTTAATGGCTGGCTGGCTGGCTAGCGATAGGTAGACAAATGGATAATGGAGAGATGATGAACAGATAAGTGAGGGAAATTCAGATGGATAGATGATAGGTAGTTAAGTAGAGAGGAAATAGAGAAGTGATTGATAGATGAGTTAAGTAAAAAATAAATAATATATTAGATGATGATAAAACGATGATAGGACAGAGTGAGATAAATAATGAGTGTTTGTGTTAAGTTATCTCTGGGGAAATAGGGGTTGTGCAAAGGATAGACAGACAGAGATAGATAGATGAGAAATAGATGATAGATAAATAGATGAGAAATAGATGAGATAGATAGACGAATCATAGATGAGAGAGAGAGAGAGAGAGATAGGCAGGCAGACATGACAGATAGAGATAGTAGATAGATGACAGTAAATAGATAAATAGATAGCGTGCAGCAGGCAGTGGGAAAGACAGTTTGGCACTGTCATGTCGATTGCTAGGATTGTTACCATTATTATTCCTATTGTTATTGTTCCTATAGCTATTGCATGGATGCTACTACTGTTGTTATCGTTGCTCTCCCATCATTTATTTATTACATTTATTTGCTGCCCATCTCGTATCAAAAATGACTTCGGGCGGCTATTGGACCGATTGTTAGGATTTGCTAGTTATTGTTGTTGGTGTTTTCTCATTGCTGTTGTTACTATGGCTGTTATTGTTAATGTTATTGTTCCTATCGTTATTCTTCCTATTTCTATTGTTAACTAGTGTTACTGTTCGTGCTATTGTTGTTACGGCTATGATGGCTGTTAGTCCCTATTGTTGTTTCTACTGTTGGTATTGGTATTGCTATTATTATTGCTACTATTATTGTTATTTTTCTTATTATTGGAACAGCTGGTGAAATCCTAAGGGCTGTATCTCCACCAGACTATGGATCTGGAAATAGGAACAAACCCTGCTATTTTTAAAAATTGCTTATTATGGTGATGATCGTCATCATTTTAATTATTAGGCTAAATTTTTAATAACTTAAAAATAAATTAAATGTTTCATTAATAATTAAATATTAAGCTTAACAACAAAGTACATTATTAATAAAATCAAGCCACATATAGTCTTCCAAAGAGAGCATCTAAAAAGCATCATGTCATCTGCAATTATCATCATTATTATTATTAATAATAATAACAGCCGTAATACTGCTAATAACAGTCATGTAACAATAGTAATAATAGAGATCATAATATTCCACACATGTAAAACATCCCTAACGATAAAGTGGTAACATTGCTTTTTGAAAAGAACATCACGAAAAATCACAGATTTTCAGTTGCCTATTAAAACACACTAAGGAACATATTCGTATTTCAATAATTACAGGAATAATTGGTTTTTAGTGTCTATGGCTGATTGTTGTAACTCCTCTGAGTGAACTCTGAATAGCTTTTCTCTGTGATTAAAGGAGGATACTTAACTAGGGCACTTTTATTTGAATTAAAAAAAGAAACCAAACGTTCTCTACAATGTAGAATAGTTAGCGGCATTTGGGGGAGCCCAAAAGAGATTTAAATTTGAAAAAGAAAAAAAGAAATAGAGCTGGGCGTCATATTATTTATTTTCAAAATTAATTTGTTTGGGGATAATATCTGACTCCAGAGAGAGACTCCGGGAGTGTTCCAGTATAGTATTACAAAACAAGATTTTTAAAAAAATGCAATCTGCAATAAATAATGCAGAAGATGGCCAAATGGCACAGAAAATGTATACAAAATACAAATAACTAAGAGCTGCATTCATTCCAGCCCCAGGCTAGAATGCTTGTTTTTTTCTTCTTAAATTTGCCTATTATTTTGCAGTTTCCCAAACTACAAATGAGCAGCCAGGTATGTACCAAGATGTGCATTTTTGTTCCAAATTGGATGGTGCCATTTGCAGCATTAAAATACGCCTACCAAAAATGTATTTTTAAAAAACCCCAAAATACCAAAAGCAACTATCATAAAGAACCTGGTCAAAAACTGCATACGTTTGAAGTGCCAAAATGCAACGTATTATCAAAAACTTGCCAAAATATAACTCTCGGGAAAAGCTGGAACAACATGCAAAGTTTCAAGCATGAAAAAAAAATAACCCATGAAGTTATCAAGTATTGTTTTGATGATTAGATAGGATAGATGATAGAAAAAGGAAAATTATGTTTAACCGCAGAGAGTTAGAATTTGTGCTCGTAACTGCTGTAAAGAATTAATGAGTGAGTTCTTTGTATCTTTACTCTTTCTTTTCTATTTTTCTCTCGCTCTTTCCCTCTTTCCTCTTCGACTTCTTAGCATGGTTGAATTGCAGAGTCATCTTTCATTGTTTGCTTTCAGACATTTTATTACCAAACAAGGTAACATCATTAATTAATGTGGTGTTTATATAGATCGAGTTTATATGCAGACCAAGCTAAATCCAAAAATTGTAGGAAATTCCTGGAAGCTTGGCATTCAGGCAAATCAGCTATCAATGGACACACAGAGATAAGTTTACACACCATTCAAAATAAAAAGCTAAGAAGGAAGGTAACAAAAAGACCAAACCACATACTCTCCAGCAGCCTATACCCAGATAAGCAGGGATTAACACCAGACAAACAATCAAGAAGAAAACAATATCCTAATCAAATCCCAAGGGGAAAATTACAGTCCCACCAACATGGGCAGGACAAGATATTGTATATAAACAAGGAGCCAATCTCACACTCAGTAGCACTGCTGATGTTACCTAGTAGGGCAGTGAAATGTCTGCAAACAAATTATTATGTTGAGAAAGCACCAAGTTGGATTTTGAAACATTTACCTACAAGAAAACCCACCAAGCTCAGACAGCACCAAGGATCCTACAGTCCTCCTCTTCCTTCCCACAAACCCCATTCCCTTCTGGCACTGATGATGTTACCTACTTGGCCAATCCTGTGTCTGCAAACAAACACCAAGCTCAGAGCACACCAAGGAGTGGTGGGATTCAAATGGTTTTACCACCGGTTCGGTGGGCGTGGCTTGGTGGGCGTGGCTTGGTGGGCATGCTTTGCCTAATGCTGGCACGCAGCTTTCCCCACACCAGCCGAGACTGTTCTGACCCAACCCGGTTACCAGCAAGAAAATCTCACAACAAACGCAGCAACTCAAACCTTCACTGCTTTAATCTACAAATAAACTTCTTTGTAGATAAAAGAGGGCTTGCAGCCAATTAGTCCAAACAGAAAAGCCTTGACAGAATTCTTCAGATAAGCCAGAGTCGCCACACACAATGCTGAGTCCTTAGAAAGTTTTTGCCTTCTGCAAAAGCAAAAACCTTTTGAAACCAGGCTTATAGTCCCTGGAGGGAGGGCCCATTACGTTGCATCCTTACTCCCGAGTCGCCTGTGCTGCTCCAGCTGTTCTCTTCTACGAATCATCCTGCGCTCCCGCGCACTTGGCGCAGGCTCCTCGGGAACCTCCTCATTGCTGCTGCCAGCCCCCACAATCCCTGAAGGCAGCAGTCCACTCCCTGATGGTCCTGGCCCCTCATCTGAGTCCTCGCTCTCCTCCGCCGCCTGCACCTGCTGCCGGCTAACCACAACAGAGACCTGCAGCACCAGGTCTCTGTTGTGGGAGAGAGAGAATAAAGAAGAGAAAAGTGCAGGGGGCATCTGGGAGGGCCCAGTGCACCCACAAGGCTGCTCGAAGGAAAGAGCAGCTGCAGCAGCACGGGAGTAAAGCTGTAAGGTAATGGCCCCTCCCTGAGCAGATAAAAGCCAGCTGAGAATCTGCAGTTCTTTGCAGAAGGCAAAAAAGTTTGATACTCGAGCCTGGTGGACATTAGGAATATCTTGAGTTGGAACTTTATCTGGTGTTCTTGGCAGCCTTGCAAAAACTTGGCAAGGTTCTTCCTTATTAGTTGGAAGCAGCCTTTTATCGGTGAAGGAACGGGATTCGTAAATGAAGCATTAAAAGGTTGTGCTGATACCTTTGTCTTGTGTTTGCTCTCTGGGTCAGAACAGACCATTTGACCTTTAGTTTTTTAGTTTACTTGATTGTCATTGCACCTCGTACAATGAAATCAAGCACCATCTTCAGTGCACATCATGACCATGAAAATAAACACAAACACACATCCTTCACCCTTCACACATTGAACCGAAAATTCCCGACACCGCACCAACACTGCACTATACAGCAGAATCCAATAGAATTCCTGCCCTGGGAGAGAAGCTGTTTTTCAGCCTATCTGTCCTTATTTTTATTATTATCATGAACCGTCTGCCAGATGGTAATAGTTCAAAAAAAGGGTTCCCAGGACAAGATGGATCTTTGAGGATGTTTTGAACTTTCTTAAGGCAGCGGGAGCAATAAAGCTCTTCCAAAGAGCAACCAATGCTCTTGTGGGCAATGACGTTAACCCTCTGGAGCGTTGTCCTATCTGCCACAATGCAATTGGCAAACCATACAGAGGTGCAGTAAGTTAAGATACTCTCTCTGGTGCAGTGGTAGAAGGACACCAACAGTTTTTCATTCAGTTGTTGTTTCCTGAGAAGCCTCAGGTAATATAATCTCTGCTGGGCCCTTTTGACCAGGGCTGCAATGTGAGCACCCCAGGTCAGGTCCTCTTTTAGGGTAACTGTTCTGTATTCTGTACAGTGGTAGATTTTGTCTTCTGTACAGATAGATAAACTCAACAAAACGTACATACAAAATCTTTATTATTGGTTCATCAGGTATCCTCATAACTCACATTTGTGACAAAGTTCTTCTTTAATGACCAATCCTTTGCATTTCTGTCTTGTAGGTAAAAAGATGGTTATCTCCTATCCTTTTTCTCTCATCTCAAAGCGGTAGAAGTAGAACAGTTACCACGAGTCCGTGAGTTCAGCCAAGAGTGAGGAAACCCCCTCTAACCCCTCAAGGGTCAATTTAGTGACCAATCAGGATTACAGATGTGGTCACGTGACATGGACTACATTTCCCAGGATGCATTCCCTTAAGGGGACAGCTCACAATTGCTACCTAACTATCCAATTCCCATACACTGGCTGGACAGCACAGTAACACCCAGAAACTTAAAACTGGCCACTTGCTCCACTCGGTCTCCATCGATAAGCAAGGGCTGGATGTCTGATCTGTTCCTTCTCTAGTGCACCATCAGCTCCTTGGTCTTATTGGTGTTGAGGACCAAGTTATTGTCTTCACACCACGAAAGCAATTGGTCCACCTCATCTCGTTAGGCAGACTCATCCCCCAACCCCCGGAGATAAGTCCCACCACCTGATGCTTTGAGGAACGCAAGCTCTCCAACACTTACCCAGGTGGGATGGAGGCTCTGCTACTTAGGATGGCCGCCCGCTGTGTCCCAGGTCGGTTCAGATTATTTTGACCCGGAACTTGAGTATTGTTGGGTGCGCTCTGACTTCGGGAGAAGGTGGTGGCAGCTGGCACCCCGTTGGTGGAACGTGACTGTTCCATCTTGGACATCCCTCCTGCTGGCACAGCCCCCAAAGACCACAAGGCCGTCCCGTTGAATGTATTGCTCTGGCGGACTGCCAGCGTCCCGTTGTTATTGCCCGCGTAGACTTTCCGGCGTTGGGAAGCCAAGATGGCGTTGGATGCTGCCCGGGTGCTGTTGACCAGCAGGCACTGCTGACACGAACAAGGGTGGCCAGAGTTGGTCCCCACTGGCCAGGATTGAGACTTGGGGATGGAGCCCATGATGAGCGGGTAGGCTAAATCCATGCGTCGCCGTAGACGGCGCTTCCTCTGGGTCTGGCGGTTCACCTGCGACATGCTGTTGAAGTAGATCAGGTAGCAGAACCCCAAGGAGGAGAGGTCCAACCAGGGGTGCTGCTTCTCGTAGGCGTTCTGGATGGTGATGCAGATGTCCATATCGTAAGGGGTCCAGGAGTTGTTGTCATTCTCCCACTCCCATACCACCCCTTTGCCGGGAGCGGAAGAAGGGTCATAAAAATTCCTCCGGACCGGGCGCATGGTCCCTGCAAGAGAAGGGAGACCGCCAAGTGATATAACACAGATTAACAGAGTCGGAAGGGATCTTGTAGGTCATCTAGTCCAACCCCACCCATCCACCCAAACAGTAGACCCTACACCGTTTCTGACAGATGGCAGTCCAGTCTCTTCTTGAAAGCTTCTGGTGATGGAGCTCCCACAACTTCCGAAGGCAAGCTGTCCCACTGAATACAGAATAACAGATCTGGAAGGGACCTTGGAGGTCATCTAGTCCAACTCACCCACCCCAAACATGAAACCCTACACCATTTCTGACAAAGGGCAGTCCAGTCTCTTCTTGGAAGCCTCCAGGGATGAAGTGCCCACAATTTCCGGAGGCAACTTCTGTTCTTTACAGATTAACAGAGTCGGAAGGGACCTTGTAGGTCATCTAGTCCAAGCCCCCTGCCCAAGCAGGAGACCCTACACCATTTCTCCTTTCAGTTTCTTTTAGGTTAAAAAAAAACAAAAACCACCAGGTTGAGCCTCGGGAAAAAAAATCTTGCAAAATGATTTTCAGTCTATCAGCTAGAATCCCTGTGAACAACGTGTAGTTTTTCAGTAACACAGATTAACAGAGTTGGAAGGGACCTTGTAGGTCATCTAGTCCAACCCCCCCCAAGCAGTTTTGTCCAACGAATTGATCTATTTATCTTCATTTGGATATTCTCTTTCTCAAGTTCACAGCGCAAAAACTGTGGAAGAAAAGATATTTGTTCTCCCTGTCATGAGAGGAGGGAGGGAAAGAGAAGGGGAGAAGAGAGGAATTAAGGGAAGGGAATGAGAGGAGGAGGAGGAGGGGAGGAAGCAGGGAAGGGAAGGAAGAAGAGAAGGGAAGTTCTCCCTCAGTGACCTCTGATGGAATCTGCTGAGGGTTGAAAAGCACAAAACGGAAAGTGATCAACAGAAAAGTGACATCAGCAAGAATATCTGAACAGAAGCTACCTTCCCTCCGTCCCTCCCTCCCTTGACTGCGTGGAAACATCCACAGGAAAGCTGGCATTTATTCTACCTGACAAGGCACGGCAAGGTAGAACAATGGCCGGGCTGACCGGTTGGCGTGGCCAGAGGGCAAAGTCCTGAGACTAACCAAACTCTGCTCCAAACTGGCTTGGCGGTTGAAACCAAGGGAGGAACCTGGTGTGGATGGAAAGATACCCAGAACGAGGAATGCTTGTTGTAGCAACACCCAAGCAGCGTTCGGAGGCCGCAGGCAGACGGGTGTGCTTTGGAAACGTGAAAAGATGGGTGGGGCAAACCCAATTTTGCCCAAATAGTCCCTGATCCTTAGGTGAGCAAAGTTGGAGGCTTAACACCCAGTATAGGATTTATTATAATCGTGGTTTGTTTTGGAAAAAAAATGGAATTGGAAGAGACGGCTTGGTCTAGTGATTAGGGCACCTGGGTAGAAACTGGGAGACTGGGAACGCTAGTCCTGGCTTAGCCATGAAATTTGGCTGGATGACTTTGGGCCAATCACTAGGAGACGGTGAGTTCTAGTCCTGCCTTTGCCATGACAGCCAGCTGGATAGCTTTGGGCCAATCACTAGGAGACCGTGAGTTCTAGTCCCACCTTAAAAGCCGACCAGGTGACTTTCGGCTCCTCTCTATCATCCCAACTCAACCTCCAGGATTGTTGTTGTTGTGGGGAAAAATTGGCAAAGGAAAGTGTGTTGCATATGTTCACCCCATCAATTTATTTGCAAATAGAATAAAGGCAGGATTGCAAACAAATTGGTGGTTTCTCTCTCTATTCTTGTAGGCCTGGCGCAATCCCTCCATGGCTTAGGATGCACCCTGCTCTGTGAGGAACACAATGCGCACACACAGAGGGAGACACACAGACACACAAACACTTTCTGCACGACCTCCCCTCCCCTCCCAGGGTTTGCTGAGGCAGCCCTCGACACAGTCCATGCATGCAATCAATAATGATGTTTGAAGTGTTACGTTAACTATGCATCCCTCCCCAGGGGCTCGTAAAACTAAACAGCAGTACGCCAGCAGTTTCCATGGCGTTTGCTTTCAGCCAACATGGTTTGGCAAGCGGCCTGCTGCTATCGCTTGCAGCCCTCTCCAGCAGCAAGATCCCAGGGAGATATTGAGGGGGGAGGGAGAAGCTATCAAGAAGGCAGGGGAGGGGGCTGGATCTAGGTTGCAAGGGGGCACACAGAGACTCTGCAGATAAAGGCTGGACAAGTTTCAGTGGGCTTTTAGCACACCTACTTTAGCACACCAACAATAAGGCATTAAGAGTCGTTAACCTAATCCTACGTAGCTTTTTCTCTGGTAATATCACACTACTAACTAGGGGCATACAAAACATTGGCTAGACCAATACTTGAATGCAGCTCATCAGTCTGGAACCCACATTATGTATCTGATATTAACACAGTTGAGAAAGTCCAGAAATATTTCACAAGAAGAGTTCTCCACTCCTCTACTCGTTGCAGACACCAGACTAAAAATTCTAGACCTAGAAAAGCTAGAACTACGCCGCCTTAGGTCCGATCTAAGTATGGTATATAAAATCATACATTGCAATGTCCTACCTGTCAATGAATACTTCAGCTTCAACCATAATAACACAAGAGCACACAATAGATACAAACTCAAGGTAAACCGCACCAAACTTGATTGCACGAAATACGCCTTCAGCAACAGAGTGGTCAATGTCTGGAATACTCTACCTGACTCTGGGGTTTCTTCCCCAAACCCCAAAAACTTTAACCTTAGACTGTCTACTGTTGACCTCACCCCTTTCCTAAGAGGTCTGTGGGGGGCATGCATAAGCGCACCAACGTGCCTACCGTCCCTGTTCTATTAATTTTTTTGAATTTTTCTTATATGTATCCATTTCATGTATTCATAACTATGTTTATATTTATACCTATTATCTTGTAAGCGATTGACAAATCAAATAAATAAATAAAAATAAATAAATGTTGGCACCCTAGGAAGAGTGCACAGAAGAGCAACGAAGATAATGTGCCTGAAATGTATGAAGAACGGTTGCAGGAATTGGGGATGTCTAGATTAATGAAAAGGACTGGGGGTGATACGATTCCAGTATTTGAGGGGCTGCCCCAAAGAAGAGGGAGTCAAGCTATTCTCCAAAGCAGCTGAAGACAGGACAAGAAGCAAAGGATGGAAGCTAATCAAGGAGAGAAGCAACTTGCCTTCAAAAGTTGTCGGTGCTCCATCACTGGAGATCTTCAAGAAAAGACTGGACAATCACTTGTCTGAAATGGTATAGAATGTCTCCTGCTTGAGCAGGGGGCTGGACTAGAAGACCTCTGAGATTCCCGTCCAACTTTTTTACTCTGTGTTCTATGTTCTCATTGTCCTCCCCCGACATCATTAAAAAGAAGTATTTGTTTTAATTTCCTATGTTATCATTTTGACTCCACCCAAGTGGCTTCCTGATATGTTCTAACCTTTCCATCGAAAAGGATGATCTGCTCAGCAATTTTGCATGATTATTTTCTCTCTCTCTCTCTCTCTCTCGCTTGTGCAATCCGACCTACAATGAAGACCGCAAGCTTGACCAAATGTAGTTCAAACATTAAAATCTGGGATTTTTAAAATCTTTCATCCGGCTCTTTTTCCATCCTTCTTTCTTTCGTTGTAATTCATTCAAGCCGTGCGGCGTTTCGGGGGAATGAAAATGGCTTTCAACACCACGGTCTGTGTTTCTCTCTGATTGAGATGTTAAATGGGACATAACAGATAACAGATAATCAGAGTTGGAAGGGAGCTTGTAGGTCATCTAGTCCAACCCCCCGCCCAAGCGAGAAACCCTACACCATTTGTAACAAACGGCAGCCCAGTCTCTTCTTGAAGGTCTCAAGTGATGGTGCTCCCACAACTTCCGAGGGCAACTTCTGTTCCATCAGTTGATTGTTCTCACTGTCAGAAAGTTTCTCCTTATTTCCAGGTTGAATCTCTCCTTGTTGAGTTTCCGTCCATTATTCCTTGTCTGGCCTACAGGTGCTTTAGAAAATAGCTTGACCCCCTCCTCCTCTCTGTGGCAGCCCCTCAAATATTGGAAGACTGCTCTCCTGTCTCCCCTGGTCCTTCTCTTCATTAGACTAACCAAACCCAGTTCCTGTAACTGTTCTTCATATGTTTTAGCCTCCACTCCCTTAATCATCCTGGTTGCTCTTCTCTGTAGTTTTTCTAGAGCATCAACATCTTTTTTATAGTGCGGTGGCCAAAACTGGATGCAGTACTCTAGGTGTGGTCTTACTAAGGCTTCATAGAGTGGTATTAGTACCTCCCTTGATACTAATACTAGTTTCATCCAGTCTATTATATGTGACCTTTTGGTGTGATCCTTTTCAACTAGGAATCTGCAGAAAACTTCATTAACAATCTGATCAGCCCTGGATTTTGAATGCATTATTCTCCTGGCTTCTTTAGAAATGGCCTTGAAGAAAAAAAAAAACTCAGCCCATGGCTGCCCCACAGATATTTATTTCATGGACTGCTCCATCTAGCCGAAGAAAAACCCTTGTAATAGAAAGCAAATAGACTAGTTTTTTTCATTAACAGATGGTCCTTGACTTGATGACTTTTCATTGAGTGACTGTTTGAAGTTTAAAAACAGTCCTGAGAAAAGGGACTTTTTAGGGATATTTTTCATACAGACGACTGTTGCAGCTTTCTCCATGGGTCATGGGATCAAAATTCAGAGGCTCCCTTCTAGCACTGATCATGTTACCTACTTGGGTAATGAAACGTCTGCAAGAAACCCACCAAGCTCGGAGAGCACTAAGGCCCCACAGCCGCCCTCCTCCTCCTCCTCCTCCTCCTCTCCACAAACCCCACTCCCTTCTAGCACTGATAATGTTAGCTAGTTGGGTAATGAAACATCTGCAAGAAACCCACCAAGCTCGGAGAGCACTAAGGCCCCACAGCCGTCCTCCTCCTCCTCCTCCTCCTCTCCACAAACCCCACTCCCTTCTAGCACTGATAATGTTACCTA